TGTAAAGCCTTACTGCAGGACCGCCTTATCCTGCCGATGTTGTACTTTGTTCACAGTCGATTCGTAGTTCGTAGCTGAACGTATAACGCGTTCGTAGCGTAACGAATAACGAGCGGGCAAACCGAAGGTTTGTTGGCTCATCGTCCTTGTGCCTTATATTCACTCCGCGTACGCTGTTCGGTATCGGAAACATATCATTGTCATTATTCATGAACAAACTATTTGTTCTCATTTGATTCCATTTTATTAGCCTTAGTCAGGTTGAGGAGTCCTTGAGCTTGAATAAATACATAGGACACGTTTGAAGAGATCGCATACAAACAGAAGCAGCTATTCTTCATATTTCTATATTTTCATTTATCATTTGCTGCCATTTATTATTAGGCTGATGCATACTAACGCTCAACGTAACACAGCCTTTTTAAGCACGTAAAACTGCGCCGGCCAAGCACCTGCTTAGCCAGAACAAATTCAGGACGATAATTTTTGTGCCTACAAGACGCCGGGTTGATCATCCTGCATGTAAAACGACATCACCATATCTAAAGGAGTCGTCTAGAAAGTAATTTGAATCTCTTCCTCACAGCTGTATTAACATAAGGTAAAGCCAAATATTCATCGCATGCCCTCAAGAAAGCATCCAAGAAGCCGAAGTCCAAGCAAGAGGAGTTTAACTTCGCGGAGTCGCATTTTACCTTGATATAGCAAATTAATCTACGAATGAATCGCGGCTACGCGAAATTACGGATACTGATTTTTATCGAAAACTTCACATATAGAAGACAGCAAACTCCGTTGGTTAAGGCGGTCCCGTTTCACGCTACCCTTTGGTCCCGTCTAGCAAACAACTTGAACGTTACCAGCCCTTCTCGTGGCTTGGCACATTTGCTCCCATGAATTGAAAATCATGCTGTCTTCTTTTCACCGCTACCGACGAGCACGGAGGTCGGAGCCGCAGATCAAAAAGATCAACACCTTTAGAAAGGGCTTCTCGTCCTGGACCGTTGAACGTAGGCCCTTCCTAACGTGTACCTTTTCTTTCCCTCACATGAGTCGAAGAGATGATCCATACAGGTCATGGGAAGCAGGTAGAGCAAATCCCTCAAGCATAGCCCTTTCCTAAGTAACACTCCTTTTTGCTATTTTCGGGGAGGTTATCGCCTTCTAATTGGTTGAACGTTATGACTGCCTCGATCCAGGTCGGAGGTCCATTGCTACGAAAGGTCAACGGAAACCTTTTCACAGTACATCGTTCACTTTAAGGTAGAGAACTCCTCATGGCCATCCAAATAAAAAACAATGTATTAGCCACGAACGTTCACATAACTACCCGTTCTTAGATCATACAATTCCGTCCGTTATCAATACGATTTACTTCTTGGTTAAATGTCTCGGCATGGTCTGCACGGCATGTTAATGACTAATAAATCTAATGCCAGCGCTTACCCTTCTAATTAACCTAGTAGTTTTCTTACCAAAGTGTTAGTATATGATTCATGATTAAGAAAACAATGGAAATTATTTCGTACAATGATTATACTCTTAATTTAAAAAGAAAAGTCACTTTTACGTAGTAGGTTGTAGGTAGTAGACCTAGCAGACACTTAGCCAATTATTGTTGTTTCAAACATTTATCAAAGTATATAACAGATCCTTCCGATTTATATACCCTTAAAAAGCTTACTTCTAACTTCCTAATTCCCGCAGATCATTGACTTCCTGGTTCCCAGCAGATCTCTTGCCAAGTTAATCGATAAAGGGATTTGCGACAGACTCCAGTTAAGCAAATTACTGGCTATAGTCGGTCCTACATCACTTCCGACGGCATTCAATACTTTTGACAGTTTCCATCTCTATAGTTGGGTAACCTTTGGAGTTTGTGAGACGTTGTAGCCTTATATTACGTTGTGAACGTGCGGTCGGGGCAGTGGATGTTACTCAAGCACACACCTGACGAAAGGGTTTTTGTTTAGGAAAAAGTGTCTGCTTAAGCAAGCAATGTCTGCTAAAGCAAAGGACGGCCAGACAGCGAAAAATAACGGGGCTTCGTCCGCTTGTCTTGTCGACTGGTTAGCTGGCTGACTCTTGCTGCCCCTGTTCCTCACTAAAGATCAGTCCTCATTTTAAAAGACTTCCGTCCTTTTATTTAGTCTCATACGCACGCTCCCATTCTATGCCAGCAGCAGAGGCATAAGACGTCGTTCGAGAACGATAAAGCTTTTTATGTGTCAGTACAGTAGATGCCATAGCAGACCGAAAAGTGGAGAGGCAGTGGTCACAGCAGTGAAAACTACGATTCTCTGTCTTAAGCTTAAAGGTTGAAGACGCAATTTGCGCAATACAGGAAGTGTAGAGACGTCATGTGCGAGCGGACGTCGATGGGAGGAAAGCGGCCAGAGCTGACGCTAAGCAAAAAAAAAGAACAACTCCTTATGTGTTAGTAAAAGCAGGTAAAAGGGCTAAAGAGCCACAATTCAGAAAATTGATCGTCCGATTAGCGGCTTGATTCGATTTAAGCATAACGACGTTTTCCGTGTTTCCGGTATCCAGGTTGCCGTAGTGGGTGAGGGAGCACGCCATATTATTCGTATGGTAGCGCATACCTGATAACATATAAACAAATATAGATACATATGTGAGACGAATTTGCACGTAGACACGATAAACAAGCTCTGTATGCCCAATCATTACAAGAATGACTTTGGGTCGTTTTTGTTAATTGGTTCCAATGCACACAACATGTGCATGAAACTTGTGAATATCTTCCGCTTAAATGTGACAGTTTCAAGCATGCTCATTTTTAGACAAATTAACATCACGAAAGAACTGTAATTATTTAGTTTTGGTTGCGTGACTTTCTGATCACCCTGTTATGTTTTTTCGTTTACCCATAACAGGTTATGACGGGTTACACGGCCGTCAGACCGGTACGAAATTCTCTAATTATAGATGAAACAAAAAAATACGTGAAATAACACTTGCCTAACATATGGTACAAGATATAGCCCAACATGGTTAGAAGGACTGATGCATAAGTGAAGGTTTGCACAAACTGTCTCTCTACCGTCAGGACATTGAAGCTGCTGTGCATGGTATCGACGTGACTATGCGCACATGCAGATCCTGCGGTCTATACAGGCCTTGTTTTCAATAGGGCGCTAGTTGAAGAAACGGCGGCGACGACAGGCAAGGTTGGACAAACAAGCACACAGGCAGGCAAATCTATCGAAGGACCTACCGACTACTTCAACTTCTGCGGGTTTGCTTGCAGCTGAAGGAGCTCGGAACAATGGAACAAACAAGAGTGCTGGCATTGACCAAGGAATGCATACGTATGCGAGTGAGTTCAGTCATGCCATGCTGGGCTAACTCGATTGGGTCACAGTCGCGACAACAGTCAACGGTAGTAGGAGCCAACTGTGGCGACGCCAGTAAGCAGTAACATAAGATGTGCTGCAAACACGCACGTTGCGACTTCATTGCTTCGCTACTCTTGTCATTTCCTCCTTTCCTTTTTTTCTCCCTCTTTCCCAATTTCATCCTGGCACTTACCAGCAGCGGCCTTCGTTGCGTTCCGCGGCATTTTTCGTTTGGAAACGAACGTCCGCAGTTAAACGCTCGTTTCCTTTCCAGCCAACGCAGTGCAGCATACGTATTGGTCAGAGGTTGGCACAGCGCAACGGTTTGTGCGTACGACGTCCTTCTGCGCCCATTTCGTCTGTTTCTACAGGTCTATAGATCTGAAGCAACCTCGGCAGTGAGGCAGAACCGCCCGGAGCAATTGCTATTTTGCAAAATGCGCGCGAGAGAGCAAAAGAAAACGGCGTAGAAATGTACTTAACCAGACGGGAATGCTTCCCGGGAAACGCACTTCTACCTGGCATATACTGGTTGGCACATTAAGCAAGGCCGATGGTTAGGGCTACACGGACGGTAGAAGACCTAGAACAAGAGGCCGTGTGCTCGCAGGGGCTACCACGCACAAACGTGACAGTTGACAAGCGCCCGCCTGCCACAATGCAAGGTAGCGTGGCTCACTGGGCCTACAGCCTTGTTATGGTTGTTCCATGTCGTCGCCGTGCCGTTCACGCTTTGCGATGACGTGCTGGCATGAGTTTGTACAAGTCGATAGATAAGCGGAGCAGCTTAAAAAGAAAAGGCGGATGAGACGAAACGCGTTTCGGTGTAATCAAGGAAAGCACTTCACAGGGCATGAGGTAGGGAGTTGGAACCGAGGCTGCCTGTGGGTAACGCCGCAGACGCTAGATATTCCGACGGTAATGATCCTAGAGCAACTTCTGCGGGTTAAAGCTCGCAAGGAATTACAAGGACAAAATTTGTTTGTTTTACTTCGAGGCGATGGTGTACTAAACGAATCGAAGTATTTATTCGTAAGTGAAAGTTGGGCGGATTTGATGGGTGGCTGCTACTTTGATTTGAAGAAGATTTGAAAGATGACAACTAAAATGATTAAAATTCTTACGAGGTTGTTTGCCGATTCTAATAAATAACACCTTGATTAGCATGGGGAGACCACGGCGAAGAATAATAGAGAGTTGGAATGACAGTACTATAGTGAAGGACATGTTCCATAAAAAAAAAAACAGGATTCAAGGTAAGCGGTGCTTTACTTATAACGGGGTAAATTTCGTTCACCTTAGGCAATGACTCGGCTTTATTGTGACATTGAACGTTTGCTAAATGTTATCGCTGGGACGGATTTAGTTCGTAGAGGGCAAAACCTCTGAATGACATGCCCAGCAAGGGCACCAGTTAGACGCCCCTCGCCATCAACATGCACCACTCCAAATATTTTAATTATTATTCAACCTTAATTTTGACTAGTGTCTCAAATCACTACGGTATCCTTGTCTTCTTATTATTCCCGATATACGTTACAAGATATTGGAAGAATTAAGTCTGTGTGATTTCACCCACGGTAAACAGCATGTAGCCTGTCGGACACCACGAGTATCGAAAATTACGGGGACGGAACTTACGAATTGTAGAGAAGGAACTTGTCATGTCGCCGTTCCCGACATTGGCCATGCTTGCTAAGCGCGTTCCGAGTGATGATAATCGGGTCCTGGTAGGATTTTTGAAACCATTCTCCACGCATGCTCTCCGGAAACTCGCACGAAGCCCAAACGAGCCCTTCTAAAAAGCAAAGTACACAAATAAAACGTGTTAAGCAATAGAGAGAAGCCGTCTATGCCACTGGATGCAATCCTATTAACCTGTTTGAAATTCTGTTAATCTACTTTTGGCAATTTCTTGTCTCTTATTACATGTCGTCTCATTTACAAACGGACTCAAAAAATATATTGTTACTACAAATGTATATATATATATATATATATATGTGTGTGTGTTCTTAATAAATAACCACAAATGGATGCATAGCTTTTGACAACGTCTTGAAGCATCTGTAGAAGTGCACCTATTAGTAGATCCCACTCAGCAGATCTGAGTATTATGTAGGAGTTCTTATTTGTAATGAATTTCTTCTTCATGAATAACTTCACACTTTTGATAACAACAGCAGCGACAAGGATGAGAGAATTTAGGAAAAAAAAAAGGCTGAATCTCCTTTCAGCGTCAATAATCCTTCGGAGACTTATTGCTCGTCACGGCGATCAAAATTTGCAATTATAATGCCAAACAGAGACTGCATGTATTCGTTGTGTCCGTGTCGCACGACCTCTTCTACTTCTATCGAATTTGTGACCACTCCATTATTTATATCACCCCTCCCCTTCCTCACGTGACGCCATTTTCACATGCGGTAGCAACATTGAAATTGGCCTCGCCGCACGCTATCATTAACCGCATCACCGTATAATATCATTAGTGAATATATAATCACATAAAATAATGAGCTCAAAGTGGAAACGCAGCACGACGAAAAGTAAAAAGCGACAATGGACATTGTCTAGATTGCATGTACTGTCATTGGGTTGTAATTTACGGACTTACTCCTATACTCCATATTCGCTGGTATAAAGTCGTTCAAAGTTAACGGATACAAACCCGTTCCTGTGTCCGTACATAGCCCATTTCTTTCTTGAGAAAGAATGCCTTGCTCATAGCGAAAGAATGAGCTGCCCCTTTGCGGGTAGCTGGTTATGCCCACTTTGAAAGAGCGCAGGCGGAGTGGGGACGAATACGCGTCCCTGTTTCTCTTGCGGCAGGTCAGTGGTTTCCAGGCGATGGTTATAATATTTCACGCAGCAGGCAGCAGCGAAACAGTTGGACGCGCCTGAATCTCTTTTGTTATCTGCTGTTCCCACCACTAGCGGTGCTCCGTATACCGTCTTACGTGCGCATGTGTGTATATTTGGGTGTGTGCATATGTATATGTCATACGGGGCAACCGATCATCGTGTCACATTCCAGCCCATTTCCGTGTTTCCATAATGTTCCACGGCTGCTACGGTCTCTAGCGTCGGTTGATGGTGGTCACTCAGCCGGTGTCAGGCAACGTGGTCACGTCATTGATGCACATATGCATATGTGCCACATAATCTTGCATTCGGTGGTCTTTTAGGTATCGCTGTTGTTGGTGTTCGTAGCAGTAGCAAGTGGTGGTAATAACTCAGCGACGTATTTGCAGTATACATTCAAAAAGTTGTGCGTGGCAGAAACTAGGGGGGCCGCCGCCAGAGACGGTTTCAGTAACCATTGCCAACTGCTATTTACCAAACGACTACCTAGTGCATATGTAACAGGGCATGTCGCAAAAAAAGGTATAAGTCGTAGCACCACGTAAGATAACCATGTCAAATGAACGAGACCTATTACCCTTCTGTAAAGCTAGTGAAGCCAGTTAAGCTTGGCAGCTTAGCTCACAACTCGATCCTTCACTTCGCTTTAGACCTGTCTAGTCACTATCATTCCAGTAATGTTCAGGGATCCTAATTCGCGATTCCATTTACTAAACAGCTAAGCAAGGCTGCACCCAAAATGTCGGACCAAGCAGTGATCAGGAACAACGCGGAGTAGGAACAGGCTGGAAGTTGCGCCCACGTGCAAGCAGTGCTACGTTTTTGTTATTACTGTTACGACTGGTTGCTCCGGTACGCCTGCCAGAGAGAATCCTACACCATTGCTCTCAGACTATTACTTGGACTAGAGCCCAGGGGCGGCGACTTGGCTAGCGGACCCGTCCAGCTCGACGTGGTCCTATTTTGCGTGATGTCCGTCGACGGGCTGTCGTTCCATTGCCTTTACTCGCAGCAAGGTCCCCCACCATCGGAAGCCCTTGGAGGTTCTCGATGGTAACGTTACCGCAACAGCTGTCGCAACTAAAGCTATTTTGTTACTTATGGGTTATCGAACGGGACAGAGTTGGAGCTCAGCTTTTTGCACCATCGTCTAGCCGTATCACACTGCCCACAGAGCACACTCTGTTACCTAGGGTGACGGGGCCAGCAACACAGAACGGTACTACCACAACGGCGTGTTATTCTCTACTATTCAATTCCATATCTAAAAAAAAAACGTGTCATGATACAACAGGCTGCACGGAACTGGCAGCCCGACCATGTTTGGCTTGAGTGCCTGCCATAACATATCTTCAAATGTCTTGCGAATGTTTGTACTATTAATGAGGTTGTGCTAATATGCTTTGACGCCGGCTGTCATTCGCGTGAATCATATCTTCTTGCTTAAGAAAGTCCGTAACATCGTATACCGTATATAAGGAGTTTTGCTTTTGATCGCTTGATTTTTTTTATTTTGCCTGTAACGCAGGTGACAGCAATTTGACCGAATTCTATTATCATAGGAAGAACGCAAGCCGACATATTCGTTTTATTTGTTTTAGTCTTTAGTAGTTTAGCCTAACCATCCTACTATTAAAGCATTGCATCGTACTGTACTTTGGCTGCCTCATTAGATAGATACTGCAAGGATCTAACTAGTCCTACAGGTATTACGATGATCAGATATATTCACTGATTTAATCAGATTTCTACAAAAATGCATGTATTCCTTTTGAGCATCTGATGTTCTTTACACCAAGTAGCATATGATTCAATGGCAGGTATAGATAGCACAGTGATTGCCATAAATTCTCAACACGCGTAGCCATATAGAAATCGTATTGTTTTTCCCTCGTCCAACGACCGTTACGAGCATTAACCTACTTTCGCGTCTTGGTAGTACTCGACTCCGCGTAGTGAAAGCAGAAGAGCGTCGGCCACTTCTGCTCGTAAACCGCCACAAATTCACCAACCTGCTATACCTTTCTACGCCATACCAATTGAGATACCTATCTATCCTTAATGGAGAGGTTTGTCTGGCCGACTTTGCCAACGCAGAAGCAGAGCTAAAGGGTAGCTGCCCGCTGGTGACCGCCGAGAGGACCTGCCGTGGAATTGATAACGAGCAATTTGGCCTTTTCGCTCTCTTTCCCTCATTTTCGCCTCTTTCTCCTGAACTATCTGAGGGCCTACCGGCATCGTTGTTGGTCGGCTGAGGCAACTTGTCGAGTCGTTAAGACCAAGCGGCTTCTATAGGCCGCCTCCGGCGGCAGCGGCTCACATCGAAGTCAACAACTTCAGTGGTGATGGCGTGGACGGGTGTTGGGTAGTCTTCGCCCACAGTGAAGACCGGCCGGTGATAGGACACTGACTGAATTGGAAATCGCTACCAAAGAAGCAGCAAAAGCTGCAGCGATCGCAGGGTTCCTTCGTGTAGTTCTCTGGGCCAGGAATAGTCTAAGGTTATCTTACATACGGTGGGCGTCCTGACATGAGGGGCTTGTCATAACGGAAGGTTTCTATGTTCAAGGCTTCGAAAAAAGAAAGGTGAGAAAAGCTAAGTGGCACTAAACGCGCCATGTTTCTGGGTTGGTTACTAGTAGGAGTTTTGTAGCTTCGCTTTCTTTCAGCTTTTTACTTCCTTGGCCGTTTTCTTTACACGATAGGTAAAATCCCGATGTCTTCGCTTGGGACAATACAAGACCCTACTTTTTGCTTTCCCCATTTACGTCGGGCTCCCACTTTGAGGCCGGCAAGCGATGTAGGGGGAACGTAGAGACGGGAGATGTTTGTACCAGCTTTAACGCCGAGGTTAAGCACTTCGCACCCGTCGGTCACGTTGTTACAGTCAAAAGCCAAGTGCTTGTGCCGCTAAAGGCCTGTTTTTACCTCTGACGTTAACCCGAAAACGCCAAGCACTTCTTCACGCAGCCACACAGCCTTTTCGATCATTTTCACTAGCAGCAATACGCTATGCAAGATAATAAAGTTAGTCGATGAATATCAGCGCCACCGATCAATGCATTTTTTTAGGAATCTTTTTCTCTTTACCCACCCATTCTTCCTACTGAACAGAGCGACTATGGGGACTAGTAATATGATGTCCGAGGGGCCTTGCGAACAGTTTGTACAATTTCGAGTACGCGGACAACGTACTGGAACAACGGAAACAGTTAACAAGGTACAGAAGAACGTTAGAAACTTCACCTTCAACATTTATCACGTACATTTATTATAGATACAATAGCAAACTTAATAAATCTTTCGCTTACATCAAACCATTGATTTGTCATTTGCCAGACAAGCGTGGATACGATAATTAATGCCAAATCTGCCTTCGTTAGCAGATAATGAAAATACACGTTCACGGTCATATCTCCCGATCTGCAATACCGATTCGACTTCGTCAAACCCAATGCTGTAAGCCAAGTGCGCTCAGTAGTTTTTCAGTAATTCTCATATATTCTTCTTCTTATTTTGTAAAGCCATTTTGTAAAACCATTAATGCTAATTAAATTTCAAATCTTTAATAGGCCCTGTATCTTAAGACGTTCCTGCAAATTTCAATCGAATATGAGAAAAATATACATGCAAAACACCAAAGAGCTGTTTTTGCAGCGTGCGCTGCTGCGCCTGTTTATGATCCAGTAGTCCTGTTTGTTAGTCCTTCTAGAGTAGCGTACGTTAGGTTTGAAACGAGAGTTCGGATTAGACCCAGCCTACACAGCTGTGCATAAACGTACGCGCACGTTTGTCGAACTTCTGCAAAGTGCATAGTTTCGAAAAAAAAAAAAAAATGAAAGAGCTTACTTAAGAGGACGAAAGCGTACTTAGAGAAGTGTAGAGGAAAAGTCATAAATTAGCTACCTTGTTCCTCTGCAGTAGGTAGAT